CATACATGCATACATGCATGCGTGCATGCATGCATACATACATACAATTATATATATATGCATATCATATGTATGTTACATGTATATATACACAACATATTATAGGTTTAGTGTTGCATATATGTATATATATACACATACACCTACATACATACATACATACATACATACATACATACATGCATGCATACATACATACATATACACACACACACATATATGTATGTATGTATGTATGTATGTATGTATGTATGTATGTATGTATATATGTATATATGTAGATGTATGTATATGATGCTTCAAAATATTGCATATATATATATTATGCGCATAAAGATGTTCGCTCAACAACCCTTACCAATACAGTTTTTCAGTTGAAGAAGCCACGCCTAACATTCGGCCTGGTAGCTTCGGCATCATATCATATTGGCAGGTTTTAAAGTTATATTCGGGTATGTCTATGTGTGCTACGTCAGGGGTTTCTGCGTTCATTCATTCGTCAGTTAATACGAGAATTTTTTGTTAATACTGGATAAGTACTTATGAACGATGGATGAGATTGAAGAAGGTGTGAAGATTGCCGTACGATATACAACGTTTAAAAGGTGTTGCACTGTTGCACCGCTCAGACCTGACTGCACTTACAAGAAAACCAGTCACCACATTTTGCCGAGCCCTAAACCCTAAGCCCTAAACCTCAGCCTTTCAAGCCGGTTTGGGCGCCAAGCACCACTCCGACAAACCACCAGACTGCACCAGATATCACTTTCAAAGAGTTCGGTGAGCCGTATTTGAGAGTAGTATGAGTACCGGGGGTCTGAATTGGGCTCCCGTCCCTGAACTTTATGACAAAAACCCTAAACCCTAAATCCCGAACCCCGAAAGGCGAAAGAGCGATGAACAACAACAAGCCTAAAGTTTAGGGTTTAGGGTTTAGGGTCTTAGGGTTTAGGTTTTAGGGTTTCGGGTTTAGGGTTTTAGGGTTTCAGGGTTTAGGAGTTAGGGTTTAGGGTTAGGGTTTTAGGGGTTTAGGGGTTTAGGGTTTAGGGTTTTAGGGTTTTAGGGTTTAGGGTTTAGGGTTTAGTCAACGAGACCACATCAGGTGAAACACGCACTCGCCGAGCAGCCCTTGATGCCTCTCACGCGCTCCAAGCTGGCCATCCCATTCGTAGGCCTTCCGTGGGATGCGTCCTTGATTGAACATGAGTTGGCAAGTTGGCCGTGGATCCAATTCACATAATGAGACATAATTTAAGATGATGACTATATAGATAGGTAGGTAGGCATGTAGATACATAGAGAATTAGGTAGACAGATAGATAATCAAACAGCCAGATAGACAAACACATAAATGAATGAGTATATGCACGCCACAGCTGTAAACGTGCACAGGGGTTTTACATGTTCATGAGAGTCTCGCCTCAAAGGCAAGATGCATTGCCCAAAGGCAAGGACGTTCCATCGCAGAGCTCAGAATTCGCGCATCCCGACATTGTGAAGGGGCCTCAGATTTCCGGAGTGCATCGGAGTGCCATTGTTGTTCTTGACGGATTGCTTGCAACGCTGATGCTCTTGCTCTTTGCCTTGCCAGTGCTCACACTTGCGTAAATCACTAGCTGATTAGTATTTGCCTAATCATCATTGTGATGGTTTCTTTCGGAGATTGCTATTGTTGCTATTTTTTGCTACTGCTGTCATCATGATGCCTGTCGTCATGTCTTCTATCACGTTCAAAAACTCTGAGCCTCTTCGACGGTGTGGTATGAAACCGCTGAGGTTACCGACGACCTTGTAAAAGGGTTTGAGTTGCATTCAGTACTTGTGACAGATCCTTGCGCCTCTAAATCTCTAAATGCCCACAACCAGAAGTACCACAGTGCAACTCGTACATTTCAGAGGCTCCTCTTATCCTGAGGAGTATGAGTCGAATACTGAAGGCCAAAGGTCCACAGCATCCAACCTCTGACATCTCTGAAAGTAGCAACCGGCACAACGCAACCGACGATGACGATGCTTTGAACTAACACCGCCACCACGACGACTACGACGTCTGCGACGACCACGACTGCTACCACCCCCGCCATCACAACAACTACAACTACAGCCGCAGCTGCAGCTACAACACCGGTCCCAACAGCGATATCTGCTACTGCTCCTGCTACTGGTACTGCTACTCCTACAACAGCAACAACAACAACAACTACTACTACTACTATTCCTACTAC